TGGGGCAATAAAGATATTTGGCCTTATTTGGCTTTCTTTGCTCAGCAGCACCTAGCCTGTGAGGTATGGCTTTTTCTAAATTCCTAGTAAGATTAGTGTGTGACAGAGCAGCCCCCACCTTTGCTCTGAAGCCTGTTTTCCCAAGAGAGCTGGGTAAAGAGAATTTGACATCTCATCAGCTAGTACGGTGAGTTTCGGGAAAAACTAATTCGCTCTCTACATATACATTCACATCCATCTGTGTATCTCTGTGTATATACGTGTATACACACAGACAAAAAAATGTTTCACATATATAAAATTTGAATGCCTTTTGGTAGAGGAATTTAGTTTCCTGTTTACTCTAGTGTCTCTTCTTCCCCTCCGTCTTAAGACTATGCCCCATCATTTGTGTATGCGGTTGCCTAACTGACCCCTGTAGGTATCTGCGATTGTGCCCCCTGATTTTTATTCAAGTACCAATCCAGTGAAGAAAGAAGGGAGGTCAAAGACCAGAGTAGTGTAGCAGGTGTTTATTGACTTCCTAGAAGAAGAGAGCCAAGTATAGCCTGGTTGATCACCTCCTCAGAGACTCAGCATTGTGAATCGCCCCTGAAGGGTCATTTTTATACAGCATGAAGTAACCCTGCACCTGGGCAGGACTGATTTGGGTTGTAGCTCGGAGGACATGTTCTGCAAACTCCTCAGCCAAGGAAGCTGCTTGCCCTGGATAGAACCTCTGGAACATCTGGGTCAGCTGCCAGTGTGAGCAGTAGCCCACGTACTCCTTCAGGTCTACTCGCCCAGGGCGTATCAGGGCAGGATCCAGCCTAAGAGATGACAGGGAAAGCAGAGTCCCAGACAATAGCTGCACTAGCAACCAAAAAAGATGGTCTTCTCAACCTCCCAATCCTCCCAGGACACTGAGTAGAGGAATCTTGCCTCTCAGACTCAGAGTACTTTACTCCTTACCTGTCAACATGGTTGGTGGTCATGAACACAATGCGTGCCTCAGTGGAAGCCACACCATCCAAGGCATTGAGCAGTCCACTGAAGGTGAGACGACCTAGACCTTGGTACTTTACTGGGTCTGAAGGAAGGCAGAGATAAAAATGCATGGGGTGGTCATAGCCCTACTTAAAATCAGCATCTTCCGTCCACTCCCCACCATTTCTTCTATCTATACATGCCTCTTGTGGGCTCTTGTTGGTAACCCAGGCATCCTCCATCAGCCTGGATTTCTACTTTTCTTCTATTGTTCTGTATTTATTATTACCTCATCTGCCCTTATACAGAACCAGTCTCCTTTCCCCAGCACTCCTCACTTACTCTCCACAGCCAGGTCTCGACTGAGAAAAGCAGCATCCACATCCTCCAGGAGTACCAGGCTCTGCTGCGGGGCCACGCTCAGCAGGTGGTTGAGTCGGTCATCAGAGAGGCTGGAGTCCGTGAGACTCAGCAGGCAGATGCTGTGCTCCAGTTCTCCAGCCAGGGCTGTGCTATGGTGGGTGGGATGGCAAGAAGTAGTAGGCAACCTGGGAACACGTCCTTAGGCCCAATTGCTATTTCCTCACAGTCCTGGGAGGTGTGTCTCAGAGGCCTAACTTCTACCACCCACCCTGATGTTGCGCATGTCTCATGTTTGTCCTGACCCCTGTTCCCCAGATTCATTTCCCTTTCCAACTCCCAACAGCTCAGTTAGTCCACAAAGGCTTAGTTTTTGCAAAATTAGAAGAAAATTTGACTCTACTCACATAAAACTGCTCTTTCCACAACCAGGGGGCCCATAAAGCAGGTAGCCACGTCTGTAGGGAATGCCTAGGGATAGAACCAGGATGATCAGGGCCTGAAATGAATCATACTTTGCCCCAGATAACCATATTCATTCCCAGCTCTGGCTCTAGGAATTCCAATCATAGGCAACTTTTCTCTCTCTACCTCTGGAAATTGGGCTAGAGCTTTCTATCACCTCATCTGGCCAGAGACCAGCTTGTCTCCTCCTGCTCTAACACAGCCTAGCCATGACCCCAGCTGCTTCTCACCTCTGTCAGTATACCACTTGGGGTTATCAATGAATTCCCGTATGTCTCTGACAATTCGGTCAGCCAGACCCTGTTGTAGAACCACAGAACTCAGTGGCCGCCGGCGGCGTGGATAGCCAAAGGGGCGCCATTCAGAGCCCACAGCTGTGTACATCACAGTCTTCCCTTCCTCCTGCTGCAAGGCTAGCTCTCGAGCTGGGAGGGGCAAGATGAGACAAAGTCAACAATTCTTTTCACCATAGCTGATTCTTCAATTAGAGCTGTGCCAAACAACTTCCCCTGCTCCCATAGGCTCAGACCGTTTTATTCCTTCTCCCCAAATGGCTTTTCTTCTAATGTCAAATGTCCCCATCCCTGTAACCCCCCAAGAAAGCCTGCCTGTGCCATCCCACACCTTCCTCCAGGATGTTGAAGAAAACCTTTCTGTCAGTGCCCAGGGCTGTGAAGGTGACAGATTCCCAAGGAGTCCCTGTCTGCAAGTCTATCATCTGCATCTCTCGACTTCGTTCCACCCGGATCCATTTCCCTTGATACCTAAATAACAGTCCAAATCAGTGAGTGGGTCAGACACAGCTCCCTTTATCCCCCTATTCCCAGAGACCTCCCAGGTTCCCAGTCTTACCAGATAAAGTGGTTTCCAGGGCTGGGGACAAATTCAAACTTGGTGGAAATGTGGCCACTCTCGTGCTGAAGGTACGAAGTCTCGACACTGAGGTGCTGAGTACGAGTACTGTGGCGGGTGAGCCAGCTAAGCAACCAGGCATAGCTCCTGTCTCGAGCAGGGACTTCCAATGTGATCATGTAATGGCGCCGGAATGCCACCAGGCCAAGTTGGGCACCCTTTCGGGCCAGGGCCAGGGCTGTGCCCACACCCACTAGCCCAAATCCAGCCCCAAAGTAGGGATTGTCCTTTAGGGCCAGAATAAAGTCCGAAAGCGGCATCTTGAAAGGGAGAACACAAACCTTACAGGTCCTGGGGTATTATCAAAACCTAGGGGTGGGGAGCACTGGAGATGGAACAAAGAACAAGATTACTTCAGAAACTGGACTCCACAGTCCCTCCTCAGGGCCCTGCCCCACTTTCTCCTATAGAAGCAGAAAGGACAGATCAGCACACTGCTTCAGTATCCTTTTGTGGGGTGGTGTTGGAATGCAAGGGCTGAGACGTCAGGCCTTTCATCCCATTCTGCCCTTCATTAGTTTACTCATACCTCAGTTTCCTGCCAGAAAATCATGTTTGGAGATTCCTTAAACCACCTGTAACCAGCTTCACATCAGGATAATGGATAGACAGAATTTTTGTGGTGCTGTAACCAGCTAAGATAAAAAGGGACCCACTGGCTGGAGTTGGCAGAGGTGACTCCACTGACTTTTCAGTAACCCACGCCATTTTACCATGAGTAATGTCTTTCAAATATCCTTTTCCTTACATGCCCAATACCTAATGTCCTGTTTTGACCTTTATTGCCTCCCACCTAAACTGTCTCTTTAAAATTAATTTTTTTGGCTGAGTGGGTGGCTCATGCCTGTAATCCCAGTATTTTGTGAGGCCAAGGTGGGAGGATTGCTTGTGCCCCAGAGTTCAAGGTTGCAGTGAGGTATGAACACACTATTGCACTCCAGCCTGGATGACAAAGTGAGACTCTAAAAAATAAAAATGAAATTTTATTTCTTGAAGTGACTTTTTTTTTGAGCTGCAGTCTCACTCTGTCGCCCAAGCTAGAGTGCAGTGGCACGCTCACGGCCACCACAGCCTCGACCCGCTGGGCTCAGGCGATCCTTCTGCCTCAGCCTTCTAAGTAGCTGGAACTACAGGCACACGCTACCATGACCGGTTATCTTTTTGTTGTTGTTGTTGTTAAGTCGAGGCCTCACCAAGTTCTCCAGGCTGGTCTCGAATCCCTGGGCTCAGGCAATCCTCTCGCCTCAGCCTCCCAAACAAAGTGCTGGGATTACAGGTTTGAGCCACCGCGCCCGGCTTGAAGTGACATTTTAATAGGTCTCCAGCTCCTGCTTCACCAGCCACACAAGGGTCCAGGTACTTCTTCATAAGGATCAGCTTCAATTCTATCACTCTCCCTGCTACAGCACCTTCACTGGCTGGCTCCCATTTAGATCCCCGTCAGCCTGGTGGTACCCAAAGCCTCCACAACACGGCGCCCAACTACCTTTCATGACTAAGCTCCTAATAACTTCCTATGTAACAAATACGCAAGCAACCTCCCACCCCCCACCCCATGCAGTTCTCTCGGCTCGGAATGCCCGTTCTTTATTCTCTCCATTATCACCAATGAAGACCTGCCCTGCTACATTCTCCACGGAACTTCTCCCGAATACCGCCCCAATAAAATGCACTGGGACCAATTGTAGAGAATAAGACTCCGAAGGATACAAGCAAAGTTATTTCTAGCACACTTCTTGGAAGCCCCGACCCCAGGCCACCCCCGCCACTCTGCCCGGCGCCAGGCACGCAGGGCAGTGAATTGACAGCGGCGACCTAGGTTGAGGTTCAGAACTGGGATCCAGAATTCCAAAACACCGATGCATGGAAGGCCACAGACAAAGCTCTTCCGCCCCAGTCTTTGCGAGACACTCATAAGCCCACTCCAGAACTCCTCTACAGCCTCGTTTACGCCTCCAGCCACGAGGTTTGGAGCAACCCGTCACTCCGCCCCTTACCGCCATGACCCTCTGGCCCTCCGTCTCGATGGTTTCACCCCCTCTGTACGTGTGGTTAAAGCACTTGGCCCCGCCCCGAGTTCTTTCATCTACTTCCCGTCACACCCACCAAGGAGCCCATGCCACTCTGCCCCACAACTCTCAATGGTATTTCTTGGGCTTCAGGGCTGGGGGAATGAGCGGGGGCGGGAAAGATGTCGGAGGAGGAACCATAGAGTACGTCGGCAGCCGACAAGAGAAAGAGCTTCCATGTGCGCAATGTCCTAGAGGCGGCTGGGCCGGAGGTGGTGGCACAAAGGGAGCCCCGGGAGGCCGCTCCAGCCGCTGTCGACCATAGAGATGCGGCTCCCACAGGCCCAGGGTCTGGAGGTGAGTGTGCAGCTGCGGGGCGGGACCTGGACAGGCAGTGCGAGTGGAGCGAGCAGGAGGCAAAAGTTTCTCGAGCCTGGGGTGAGAGTGGGCCTAGGCGGTGGGAACTCCCGGGAGGCGGTACTGAAGGGAACACGCACACGAGCGGGGCCCCGGCGCATCTCCGCAGTCGCCCAGGCGCCTCATTCGCGTCACTGCTCTGGACCCCACCCGTGTACCCGCTGCCTCTCAGGACTACAATCATGACGATGCTCCGTCGCAAGCCTTGCCGGTTACAAAACGCCTGTCCCCTTCGCTGGCCGTGATCCAGCTCCCGCCCGACGATGTGGACGCTGTCATCACTTCCATTTTACAGACAGGAAAACTGAGGCCCAAAGAAGCAAGACGACTGTGTCTGACCAAGGCCTCGCTGCGAGTCAGTCCAGAGGCAGGTTGGAACCTGGGTCCCTAAACCGGGGCTCGTTATTTCCGCGGGCTGTCTCTGCCTTCATCTATTATTTCTCTTCCTCAGGGCGCCTGCCCCAAAGGTAAGCAGATTTCTTCTCTCGCGCACTCCCGTCTCCTGCCTCACCCCGCCTTTTCCCGGGTTAAGGTTTTTAGTCTAGAAGGCGCTGCGTCCTCCTTGGATTCTCCCAAGGCCATGTATGGCAGAGTTGGTAGATTACCCAGAGCAGCTGTAATATTCATAAATGGAGGCTGCGGTTTCCAGAGAATCCCTCTGACCGCGAAAGTGCACTTCCGTGCCTCCTTCGGAATCCCTGTGATCCGATGTTTTGAGTAATGGGATTCTGGAGAATAAGGTCTATCAGATTGAAGGATCTGGATTTCTCTTCTCTTTTTTTTTTTTTGCATCTTCTCACCTGCAACCTGGCCCTTAGTCAACCTCCATGATTCAATTTCATGAAGTGATTATCGTCATTCTTACTAATTATTCAGCTTTACTCATTTTAGTTATGTATAACAAGATATTCAGTTTAATTGTCATTCATTTCTCAATTATGTTCAGGTGTCACAGTCAATTAATGAATTTGAAATTTTTCCATGTGTTACTTTATATGTGAAGAACCACTTGTTTGGTGTCTTGGTAGAAGATATCTAGCTTTTTACTCTGCTGCAACCCTATGCAGTTCTTCGCTAGAATCCTAGATTGTTGGTAGTTTGTGTTCGTTGAAGTCATAATGCCAATAAACTACTCCTAAAGCTCAACTTCCAGGACGGGAGACTGACAGGTAAACAGTGCAGTATGACAGTTTCTGACAGCTACATACAAAGAGCCATTACGAGCCCAACAGAGAAAGTTAAGAGTGTAAGGAAGCCTTCATGGTGTAAGTGACATTTGGGCAGCTTCCTCAAGGAAGTTAAGAGTTGGTTAGGCAACAGAGAGAATGTGAAGGGGGAAAGACACGTCAAGCTGAGAGAGAGGCAAAAGGCTGTGAAGGTGTGGAAGCAAAAGAGAAGAGGGTAAATCTGGAGAATGCTACATCATCTGGCTCAGAGATCTGCTGAGGGGAGAGGTAGGAAATGAGTCTGGAGAGGTCAGCAGGGGCCAGATCATAAAGGAAGGGCTTTCCTTATACCCATGCTGAGAAAGTGAGATTAGGGAATGTTAAGAAGGAAAAGGACCACTGAGCTCCTTTGGTCCCGCCCCATTTTGTTGCAGATAAGAAACCTGAAACCCAGATTGCTTAATGATTTGACCAGGCTGCATTTGACTAAATACAGCTAGCAAGAAACATAACTTGCAGTCATTAAAATGTCCAAAACTTGTTGACTATCTCCTAATATTGACCCTGCTATCATTTTTATGCTTTTTTTTCTGAGCATTGTCATAAAAAGAAAGCATCTATTTAGGTCAATAAAGTATGGCATGCTGCCATGCAAGGAAATGCTTTAGTGGGCGGGCCCTGGGCTGTGTAACCACACCAACCAGGAAGAAAGTGAGAGCTCTAACCATGTTTTGTTTTTCTTCTGATTGGTTTCTCAGCATTTAAGAGAACTAAATCCATAAGTCGGGAGTGATGGCAGACCCTGTGCTAGACTCACAGCCAGCCAACAGCACTGGGGAGATGGATGTACTGTGCCCTGAGCTATTGCTGATTCCCCCACCTCTCTCTAATTGTGGAATTCTGGGATCTGTCCAGAGCTCTTGTTCTTCTGGAGACCCTGCACCTTTGCCTGCTGACCAAAGCTGCCTGCTGGTAGAGGCCACAGCAACTGAAGAGGGCCCAGGAAACATGGAGATCATTGTGGAGACAGTAGCTGGAACCTTGTCCCCAGCTGCTCCTGGAGAGACCCCAGGTACAAACACAGTTGCAAGCAGGCCAGTGGGACAAACAACTCTGTTTTGTCTGTGCTATTTTTGATTCTTCTGTATAAATATGATGAGAACACAAGGTGGCATCCTATTTTTATACTTGAAGATGTTGTAATTTCGTTTGCAGTTGGTTCATGTTGATTGAAGACTGGCGAAGTGGTGTAGCTACGTACAGGCGTTTGGCAGAGTCTGTCCCTATAAGGGCTTCATATCTCCTAGGCAGTAATCCAGAAAGGAAGACCTTTCTGACACCTCTGGCCAATCCTGACTTATCCTTAGTCTTGCCATCCTCAGAGATTCTCTCCTTCATATAGGCCCTCCTACCCAGGAACTGCAGCCAGGGATTAGGCAAAAGGCCCAGCCTGTGTCTACCACCTTGGGCTTGGCAGTGCTTTCCAGAGGTAATCTGGTATTTTCCTGCCCTAGTTTTTGTGTATAACATACTTTACTTATCCAAGGCTTGTTGTTAGGAGTAGGAATTGAGGCCAGGCACAGTGGTGTGCGCCTTTGGTCCCAGCTACTCAGGAGGCTGAGGCAAGAAGATCCCAGAATCTTGAGGCTGTAGTGTGCTATGAGCACACCTGTAAATAGCCACAGCACTCTGACCTGGGCAACATAATGAAACCCTATGTCTTTAAAAAAAAAAAAAAAAAAAAGTGGGAGTCGAGCCATTTGCATTAATCCTAGAAGGATTCTCCCCTTTAGTCATTCCATTACTATCACCTCTTATTTGTAGGAAACTTCCCTGTTTTTTAACTGCCATCATTCAGCTATAGTTGTCATCACTTCCCTTGACGGTGTAGTGTAGTGATGTAGAATACTGAGAAAGATTAGCTAATTTGACCATATAATATTTCTAAACTTCTGTGTGGTGAAATAAATGAATAAATTTTGTCCAGGCTCATGGCAGCCTGAACACACTGGATCTGGCAGGAACTGGGAAGCTAAGCAGGGTCAGCCAAGGTTAGTACTTGGATGGGAGACCGCTTGGGAACACTGCATGCCCCCCACTTCCCACAATTTACATGAGAAATTTGGTTTTTAAATGTTTTTCTGCTTGTTGATCTAGCCTCTCAAGGTAGTGATTTTCATGACATTAACATCTTGCATTCTTGGGATAAAACCAAAATAATACAAATAAATTGGGCTTTTGAAAAATAAAATAAATAACTTTTTTAAAAAGAGCCTGGAAAAAACATTCGCAATATATAAAAAAGAGTGAATATTTTTAAAATTCAAAGAGCTCCACAGTAAGAAAAAGGAGCAATTTTATTTTTAAAATAAAGAAAAAGAAGTGTACATGCAGTCCACTAAAGAAATAAAAACTAGCCGGGCTCAGTGGCTCAGCCTGAAATCCCGCGCCTTTGAGAGGCTGAGGTGAGTGGATTGCCTGAGCCCACGGGTTTGAGACCCGCCTGGGCAGGCGAG